AAACATCTCAGTGGTGTAATGGTTTCCTGTGTTCTTTTCTGTTATTTTTCTGATCTTGTTGAGCAGCTCAGTGACCTGAGAACTATCAGAGAGGTTGTTATCAAAGACGTGGTACTGGTCGTTACATTTGGCCACAAGCTCCTGCAGGTCTTCGCTTTCCTTCAAGATCTCTTCAATAGGTTGCCCTCTGAGCAGGTCACCATGGGTAAAGAGAACCATGCTGTATTTGTTTGCTTCCTCTCCAAAGATTTGCTGAATCTTCTCCACCGTCTTCTGTATTTCTTCTGTGAATCGTTCCAGTTTGATGACAATCAGAAAGATATGGGGTCCAGGAGAAGCATAAGCCATACACCGGACGATATTTGCACGTGTCGTCACTGCGTCAGTATTGGTGTCAAACAGCCCTGGAGTGTCGATGACAGAAACCTTCTGTCCATCCAGCTCACCATACGCCTTAGCGCAGCCTTCGGTCACAGATTTAAAGGAGAACCTTGATTTGAATTCTTCCTTTCCCAGGATGGTGTTCGCTGTGGCGCTCTTCCCAGCTCCGGTCTTCCCCACCATCACGATCCGGATCTCCTCATTATTGTACATGGTTGGTTCTGATTGGATGAGAGAAAGTAAAAGAACAACATTAAGGACTATATGTGTCCATTTGATTATCTATACATGATCTTATCCAATTATGCAGTTATTTGTGTTTTGTTTTTTTGAACAAATGGATTTCAGATTCAAAATTAAAACGTATCTGATCGCAGTAGACACGAGGTCCCAGCAAAAAAAAGTTTGGGAATGCTATGATATCCTACAAAACACAATTATATCGTACGACACATGAAGATATGGTACGATACAACCAAACTAAATTATACGACGCAACATGATGTGCATCCAGACTTCTTTGACTGGGGTGGCCCAACTGAGAAAGCGACTTATGCCGGAGCGGCATACTAAATGATATGATGCAACATGTGCAGTGGGGGGTCTAGACTTCTTTGACCGGGGTGGCCCATGTGAGGGATCTTCGAGTGTGTCACGATTTGATTGAGAATCTATTTTCTATTCAAAATGATTCTGGATTCATGATTCAAAGTCTATTTTTGAATTAGTACATATACTTCAGGATCTACTCCAGTCATCTGTGAGACTGGCTGAATTTCTTGCTGCTCCATTTGGCGTTCTACAGAGTTAAAGAGCTAGCATTAGCACTTAGCAGGGAGTGACTGATTAGACAAAAAAATAATAATTGATTTTTGGAAGTTATGAATCTATTTAAAATATCAGAAACTAAAAATCTAGATTTTTACATAAATTATTTTTTTTTCCCAACCTCTAGTGCATGGGCACACACTAATGAATATCCTTTCCCCCTTTTCTATTTCCACTAATAATGTCTACTTTAAAGGCAGGGTTGGTCATTTTCTAAAACTAGCATAATTTTGAAAGTAGCATTCCCTCAGTGCGCCGTCTGCACCCCTCCCCTCTGTGCTCCCTCTAAAGCCACGCCCCCTCACTTACATGCACAAGCACCATTGCTCCAGAAGCGGACCTCAGCTCATGCTTTGAGTGTGGGCTCGTGCAGTCATGGGGTTGAGAACGAGCAGGGAGACAGGGAGGCGTGATTGGTTCATCAGATTGGTACCTTGTGGCAGACATTGGTCAAAATTTGCTGCTTTGCTAAAGTGCTCATGATGGATTAAGCTGGGTCTTTGTAATATAGTCATAGGTAAGGTCTTTTAGCTGCTTTTTGTAAAGCGTCTTGAGATAACACTTGTTATGAATTGGCGCTATACAAATAAAGATTGATTGATTGATTGAAAGTTTTTACAGGCTAACAACTGCTACAGATGACAGATTTTCTCTCTGTTCCTTTTTCAGAGAACCTGAGTTATTAATGTCTGTCAGGACCTAAAGACAATTTACACCAAAATCTTAAAACGTGTATCTGGAGAAAATGACCAACCCTGCCTTTAACTACTATCATAAAAGTATTTCTAATATTTATAAATCTGTGAATGTTTTTTTAACTTTACAAACTACACCATACTACGAATCCAGTCTAATACAATAAATCTCTATTTTTTTTTAAGATGATAAGTTCTGCTTAAAAATCTTTGAGAGAGCGTCACAGGTTAGTTTTAGACGCTCCATGCTGTTGAATCATACTGCAGATGTTTCCATTAATGTTCCCATTAAATTCATATCAAAGAGAATTGGCTGCGTTAAAGACAAACACAAAATGAGTTTTGGATTTCATTCCCCAGCCTGTTAGAAATTCTGAGGATTTGAGAAATATGTTTTCAATTTTAGCCCCTTTAGAACGAGTTTAATATTTGTGCATTATGAATAATTTAATGGTCCCTCTATAAAAATTAACTTAGATACAAGGTGTATGCTACTTTATAAATTAAATGACTTACCTTTACTGACAGCCATATTTGAGTGTTGGAGAGAGTAGCTGATGTGTTTCTAAGCTGAAGAAGAAAAGTTTTTAGTCTGTCTGTGGAAACACTTCCTTATAACTGCACGGAGCCTCACCCTGTTCACCCCTTCCAGCAGCAACAAAATTGCTACTTTTTCTGAAATGGACAAAGTCCAAGTGAAATAAAACTGCCTTTATAGCCCTGACCTAACTGTGTCATAAACCAATGTTCAGACTGAGTTATGTTTCTCTCTTTTCAATATTATATATATACAGTGAAGGAAATAATTATTTGATCCCCTGCTGATTTTGTAAGTTTGCCAGATTTCAAAGAAGTGAGAGGTCTATAATTTTTATGGTACCTTTATTTTAACAAACAGAGACAGAATATATTTTAAAAAGTCCAGAAAAAAAAATTACATAAAGTTATAAATTAATTTGCATTTGATCGAAGGAAATAAGTATTTGATCCCCATGCAGAACATGACTTAGTACTTGGTAGAGTGACCCTTGTTGGCAAGCACAGAAGTCAGACGATTGTTGTAGTTGGTCACCAGGTTTGTACACATCTCAGGAGGGATTTTGGTCCTCTCCTTTTGCAGATCTTCTCCAAATTCTGAAGGTTTCGAGGCTGTCACTTTGGAACTCGAACTTTCAGCTCCCTCCACAAATTTTTTAAAGGATAAAGGTCTGGAGACTGGGTAGGCCACTCCATGACCTTAATGTGCTTCTTCTTGAGCCACTGCTTTGTTGCCTTGGCCGTATGTTTCGGGTTGTTGTCATGCTGGAAGACCCATCCACGACCCGTCCTCAGTGCTCTGGCTGAGGAAAGGAGGTTCTTGTCCAAGATCTGACGGTACATGGCCCCATCCATCGGCCCCTCAATGCGTGAAGTTGTCCTGTACCCTTAGCAGAGAGACAGCCCCAAAGCATAATGTTTCCTCCTCCATGCTTGACGGTGTTCTTGGGTTGGTATTCAGCATTTCTCTCCCTCCAAACACAACAACTCCAGTTTATGCCAAAGAGTTGAATTTGGTCTCATCTGACCACACCACCTTCTCCCAAGCCTTCTCTGAATCATTTAGGTGTTCACTGGCAAACTTCAGACGGGCCAGTACATGTGCCTTCCTGAGCACGGGGACCTTGCGGGCACTGCAGGATTTCAATCCATTACGGCACAGTGTGTTCCCAATGGTTTTCTTGGTGACTGTGGTCCTAGCTGCCTTGAGATCATTACAAAGCTCCTCCCGTGTAGTTCTGGTCTGATTCCTCACCCTTCTCATGATCATCCTTGCCCTACGAGGCGAGATCTTGCATGGAGCTCCAGACAGAGGGCGATTGATGGTTATTTTAAATTTCTTCCATTTTCTTATAATTGCACCAACAGTTGTCTCCTTCTCAACAAACTTCTTGCTGATGGTCTTGTAACCCATTCCAGCCTTGTGCAGGTCTACAATCTTGTCCCTGATGTCCTTTGAAAGTTCTTTGGTCTTGCCCATGGTGGTGGAGTGGTTGGAAGGAAGAGCTTGATTCTGTTGACGTGTCTTTTTTACCCATAATGAGCAGTGATTAGGAGTACTTTAGGAGTTGGTTTGTAGGGGATCAAATACTTATTTCCTTCAATCAAATTCAAATTCATTTATAACTTTATACAATGTTTTTTTCTGGCCTTTTTTAAAATATTCTGTCTCTGTTTGTTAAAATAAAGGTACCATAAAAATGATAGACCGCTCACTTCTTTGTAATTGGTCAAACTTACAAAATCAGCAGGGGATCAAATAATTATTTCCTCCACTGTATATGTATATATTTTTTCACTTCTTTCATGTTTTCTTTGAGTTACTGACTTCTCTCTCTATTCAGGGAGTAACCTAGTGTTTCTCTATTTGCTGTCACTTTAACTAAACTTCATCTCAAAGGCAAAAAAAAATACTTCTTACTCCACTGAATTTATCAAAAATCTTTAGTTTGTCTGCTAGTTACTCCGATTCAGATTTAGATTCAGATTAATATTACAAAATATGATCAATACATACATTTTCAAATGTGTCATTGTGGGAATTCACATGGGTATCCATCCATTATCAGTACTGCATTTCCCATTCGGGGTCACTGGGGCTGGAATCGATCCCAGCTGTCATTGGGTGAGAGGCGGGGTTACACCCTGGACTGTTCCCCAGCCAATCACAGAGCTGACATATCGAGACAGACAACCAGACACACTCACATTCACACTTACGGGGAATTTAGAGTTACCAGTTAAACCTAACGAGCATGTCTTTGGACTGTGGGAGGAAGCCGTAGTACCCGGGGAGAACCCACACATGCACGGGGAGAACATGCAGACTCCACACAGAGAGGCTCCTGTCAGACGGGGATTCAAACCAGGACATTGTAATATAGATCTGTGTGTCGTCTGCGTAGTTATGATAACTTATTTAATTGTTTTCTATAATTTGAGCTAGTGGGAGTAATGTAGATGTTAAACAGAAGAGTCCAGAAATAATAATCTTTTATTTTGTTGATGAAACTGGATTCAGTCTCGTATCCCCTTTGGAAAAACAACAACAACTACACACTGAGTTACAACATTTTATTGAAATGATAAAGAAAGCACATTTTGGTTATTCACTTTGGCTCGAACACATTAACAAGATTTGTAGCATCCTCCAGTAAAAGAATAACAAACACCATTTACTTGAGAAAACCTCTTAATTTCTTAACTAACCTTAACCGGGTTACTATAATATTTAATCAACGCTTAAGGATCTTTCTCTTAATGTTTACAACATTAACAACAGCAAGAAGCCACATGACACAATATGTGTATTTTTTTTATAATGTAAAGGTATTAAGACATTATTAACATGTTAACTGACTTAAAACTTAAATGCTATACTGTATTTGAGATCATGATGAAAGAACGATTATTTGTGTAAAAGAATACCCTTTTAATATAGTAGGGGAAATGCCTCTGACCTCAGGGGGAATGTAAAATAGTCACAGGAAGATGTTTATTTTGTCACCAAGTTTGTCCTCGCAGCAAGGATTCACCAAACATGTGTCTCGTGTGAAAGATAACATTCATTTTTGCAGAGTCAGATCAGTTTTAGACACTTAAATTGTAATGATGTTGAAGAATCATTTCAGCAATATTGAGCTGTTATTTTGTGTTCAATCTCTCACACCTTTATAAACACGATAAAATTCCAACCCTATCTGAAGGATTTCCATTAAATATCTGAACAATGCAGGGCTGTTCTCTGCATCTCTTCTAGCTATTTTTTCAATCATCTCATTCAGTAAAAGGTTATTATCAAGTGGTTCGCCAACTGATGTTAATAATTTAGATAATTTCACCAGTTTCTCCCTCTCTTTCCTCATTTCCTCTTCTTTCTCTTTCAGGATTCTCTGTTTCTCCTCTTCAATCGCCCTCTCTACCTTCTGAAACATCTCAGTGGTGTAATGGTTTCCTGTGTTCTTTTCTGTTATTTTTCTGATCTTGTTGAGCAGCTCAGTGACCTGAGAACTATCAGAGAGGTTGTTATCAAAGACGTGGTACTGGTCGTTACATTTGGCCACAAGCTCCTGCAGGTCTTCGCTTTCCTTCAAGATCTCTTCGATAGGTTGCCCTCTGAGCTGGTCACCATGGGTAAAGAGAACCATGCTGTATTTGTTTGCTTCCTCTCCAAAGATTTGTTGAATCTTCTCCACCGTCTTCTGTATTTCTTCTGTGAATCGTTCCAGTTTGATGACAATCAGAAAGATATGTGGTCCAGGAGAAGCATAAGCCATACACCGGACGATATTTGCACGTGTCGTCACTGCGTCAGTATTGGTGTCAAACAGACCTGGAGTGTCGATGACAGAAACCTTCTGTCCATCCAGCTCACCATACGCCTTAGCGCAGCCTTCAGTCACAGATTTAAAGGAGAACCTTGATTTGAATTCTTCCTTTCCCAGGATGGTGTTCGCTGTGGCGCTCTTCCCAGCTCCGGTCTTCCCCACCATCACGATCCGGATCTCCTCATTATTGTACATGGTTGGTTCTGATTGGATGAGAGAAAATAAAGGAACAACATTAAGGACTATATGTGTCCATTTGATTATCTATACCTGATCTTATCCAATTATGCAGTTATTTGTGTTTTGTTTTTTTGAACAAATGGATTTCAGATTCAAAATTAAAACGTATCTGATCGCAGTAGACACGAGGTCCCAGCAAAAAAAGTTTGGGAATGCTATGATATCCTACAAAACACAATTATAGCGTACGACACATGAAGATAGTGTACGATACAACCAAACTAAATTATACGACGCAACATGATGTGCAGGGGCGGATCCAGACTTCTTTGACTGGGGTGGCCCAACTGAGAAAGCGACTTATGCCGGAGCGGCCCAAAAGTGGAAACGTTTTCAAAAAATTCTGACTTTGTGACTGATAAACTGTGAAACTGTGTCTCTACACTGCAATAAACATGTGTCTTACACATCCAGGAGTAAGGCTGCTTCATGCTGGCACTACTCTTTCAAATTCTGTCTTTTAATCACAACAATAAAACATCCCTGAAACATGGGAAAGATTCAGAAACATCTCAACCTACTACCAAAGCATGACCTTTTCTTACTTATACCTTATCAGGGCATATTAAGCAAAGCATATCAAGATCATAATTCATGTTCACAACTTCCTAACTTTCAGCGTCTGTGCTCTCCTGCTCTCGGCTAATAAATGAACCAGTGGGAATTAGTATTGTCTTCTTATTCACACTCAAGCATTGGATGCAACAAAGACAATTCAACAACTTCCTCTCTTTCTCCCAATAAGCAGTAATTAGGAAGGTATTTAGGAAACCGCCTAGTTACAAGTTACACCTACACACTACGAATCCAGTCTAATACAATAAATCCCTCTTTTTTTTAAGATGATAAGTTCTGGTTAAAATTCTTTGAGAGAGCGTCACAGGTTAGTTTTAGACACTCCATGCTGTTGAATCATACTGCAGATGTTTCCAGTCATTTTCCCATTAAATTCATATCAGAGAGGATTGACTGCGTTAAAGACAAACACAAACTGAGTTTTGGATTTCATCCCCCAGCCTGTTAGAAATTCTTAGGATTTAAGAAATATGTTTTTCCATTGTAGCCCCTTTAGAACGGTTTAATATTTGTGCATTATGAATCATGTAATGGTCCCTTTATAAACATTAACTTAGATACAAGGTGTATGCTACTTTATAAATTAAATGACTTACCTTTACTGACAGCCATATTTGAGTGTTGGAGAGAGTAGCTGATGTGTTTCTAAGCTGAAGAAGAAAAGTTTTTAGTCTGTCTGTGGAAACACTTCCTTAAAACTGCACGGAGCCTCACCCCGTTCACCTCTCCCAGAAGCATTTCTTCTTCTTCTTCTTCTTCTTCTTCTTCTTCTTTGGATTTTATTGGCAGCTGGCATCCAAAAAGTTGCATTACTGCCATCTGCTGGATTTAATTATTACTCACTTTTCTAAATCCTTCTCAATAAACCTAAACAAGCATCTTCGTCCTCTCCCTCTCTCCCCACACTCCAAAATACTTTTTAAATCTCTTCTTACGAGTCCCTCTCTCTCCATTTCTGACATCATGTTCTGTCTATGTGTTAAATACTTTCTACATTTAATAACTATGTTCAATTGTTTCTGCTAGATTGCATATCTCACAAAGACCAGATGAATGTTTTCCAGTGATATGTAGAGAGCTATTTAAATGACTGTGACTGATTCTTAACCTGGACATTACGACCTCCTCTCTTCTGTTGCTCCCTCTGTATTTTACTTTATCTATTTCCCTCTGAATTGAATATAAATGTCTTCCCTTTGTCTGATTGTTCCGATATTGTTGCCATTCCTGTTTAATTTTACTCCATGTGACTTGTTTCCCCTCTGACTGAGATCATTTGATGTTAATATCAATCCTCTCTTTCTTTACAGCTTCCTTTGCCAACCTGTCCACCTTTTCATTTCCTGCTATACCTGAATGTTCTGGAACCCACATGAACATCACATCTGTCCCCTGTTTAACCACCTGGGAATGTGTAAATATGATTTCATATAATACATCTTGACGACTGTGAGATGATCCTGATTGAATACTGTATAAAGCGCTGACTGAATCACTGCATATCAGCACTTTCCTTCCTTTCATTTGCTCAACACATTCTAATGCAACTAAAATGGCGTACAACTCTACTGTGTACACGTTCAGGAAATCTGACGTTCTCTTCACTACTTCAACCTTGAACCTTTTGGGATAAACGCAGCGTATCCTGTTGCATTTGTCATCGGGTCTTTAGATCCATCTGTGAATACTTGTACATGATCTCCATATCTCTGTTCTATGTGTTCATAGAATTCACTAACTAAATCAACATTTCTTTTCCTTTCCTTTATCTTTAGTAACTCCAAGTCTACTTCAGCTGTCTCAAGCAGCCACATTGGAACTGGTGGCCATAAAACAGCTGGACTGATATCCTTGTCATACACTCCCATATCTCTCGCCACTCTATCCCCTATCCATCCAAAACTGGACTTTATTGTTCTCTCTTTTTCCCAGCAATCCTTTAACACTGATTTTGTTGGGTGACTTTCTCCATGTCCTCTGAAGTTCAGCCAACAATTTGCTAATAGCTGTTTCCTCCTTAAACATAGTGGCATCTCTCCTACTTCTACCTGAAGTGCACATATTGGAGATGATTTCACTGCCCCACTACATATCCTAAGAGCCTGTGCCTGAATCATTTCTAACTTTGCAAGTGTTGTCTTTGCTGCAGATCCATATACCACACTCCCATACTCAATCCTAGTTCTAATTAACGCCACATATATATATTTTAAGGCAGCAACATCAGCTCCCCAATCCATTCCTACAAGACATCTCATTACATTTATTACTTTTTTGCATTTATCAACAATAATCCTTATGTGTTCCTTCCATGTCAACCGGACATTAAAAAATACCCCTAAAAAACGAAATGAGTCAACTCGTTCTATCTTATTTCCAAACAATGTCAACCCAATATTCTCCCCAATTTTCTTTCGAGAAAAGAACATGATCTTTGTTTTTTCCACAGAAAATTCCAATCCCCACTTTAATCCCCACTTCTCAACTAAACTGATCCCTTTCTAAATTTTATTTACAATAAATTGTATATTCTTTCCTTTTTTCCACAATGCTCCATCTTCTGCAAACAATGATTTTCCTATATCTGTTGGGATATTATCAAATATATCATTTATCATAATTGAAAATAAAATCGGACTTATCACACTTCCCTGTGGTGTTCCATTCTCTACAACATACTTTTTAGAATCTAAAGTGTCATCAACTCGCGAATGAATATGGCCAGTTGCGCAACATCTGTAATGTCCGTGCTTTCATCAATTGCAACTGAAAACGCAATAAATGATTTTACTTTGTGCTTCAATTGGCTGTCCAAATCTGCCGAAAGATCAGAAATCCTGTCTGCAATTGTGTTTCTTGTCAGGCTGATATTTGCAAAAGCCTGACGCTTTTCAGGGCACACGAGCTCTGCAGCCTTCAGCATGCATGTCTTCACAAATTCACCATCACAAAATGGTTTTGAAGTCGTTGCAATTTCATAAGCAATAAGGTAGCTGGCTTTCACTGCAGCATCATTGATTTCTCTGCTGTGACTAAACACAGACTGCTGTTTCTTCAGACAGGTCAACAGTTCATTAACTTTATTTATTCTCTGTTGTCCTTGCAAGTGGTGGTATTTGTCAGCATGAAGGGTCTCATAGTGGCGCCGAAGGTTGTATTCTTTCAGCACTGAAACATGCTGTGAGCACACCAAACACACAGGTTTCCCATTTACTTCCGTGAATAAAAAGGACGATGACCATTTTTCTTGGAAAACTCTGCACTCTGTGTCCACTTTTCGTCTTTTTGACATTTTGGGGCAATGAGAGTGCCAAAGCGCATAATGTTGAAAGTATAAGGCAGAACGACAAGGTAGCTCCGGGCAAGCCGTACTACCTGTTTATACTTGCTCCCTGCTCAGCCCCGGTATAAAGTTTGCTTGCTTAACATAATTGCTATTGCGACATCTAGTGGACACATTTAGAACAGCAGTTTCTTTCATTGAAAAATAGCAGCTCATTTTACGTTACATTCCAAAACGACTTCCAGTTACACACAATTGTCCAGTAGTTCAATGTACGACAAATTAATCAGTGCCAGTCAATGCAATCCATGTAATGCTAGGAAGGATTTTTTTTTTTTTTACAATACTGTACTTCACAAAATCATCTCGCGGGCCGGATTAAACCCGTTCACGGGCCTGATCCGGCCCGCGGGCCGTACGTTTGACACCCCTGCTCTAAATGATTATTTTACTATTTCTACTGAAAAATAGTTACCGTAAAATCCAGAGTATAAGACACACTTTTAATACCTATTTTTTTGTCTTAAAAGTTGGCTGCGTCTTACACACCGGTGGGACCAATATACCAGTACAAAATACTGAAACATGCACCGTCATTACAGCGGGTGCAGCAGCCACTATCACTGTAACCTGACGTGTTTAAAAACACATCCCCATTCAGTGTGTATTGAAAGCTGAGTGCACGCTGTGCTGGAAAAGACAGCGACACAGACCAGGCTGGCTGCGCAACTTTTTCCACATCTTTTCTCCCTCACGAGGTCATAATCATGCATTTACAGAAACAGTGGTATAATGTTCCATAAATAAACCTTGTGCAGCGCTCTTTTGATTGAAAGAGTCCTATATTAAAGTTAAAGAGTGAGCAGCGGAGTCGGGCAGCGCGACTTGCAAGCTGGCAGGTCTGTGTTAGTGATGTGTCGGTCATTAACGATTCGTTCAAAACGAACGAATCATCTGGGTGAACGAACTGAACTGAATCATTTACTAAAAAGAGTCGTTCATTTCTCAACTTCAGTTGCCCTCTCCTCTCTTCCGTCTCGTGTCTCAAAGCTCCCGTTCACAGTACGTTCAGTGAACGAACTGAACGAGAGTTCCGACGTGAATCACGCTCCGACGTGAATCACTGAACGAACTGAACGAGAGCTCCGACGTGAATCACTGAACGAACTGAACGGGAGCTCCGACGTGAATCACTGAACGAACTGAACGGGAGCTCCGACGTGAATCACTGAACGAACTGAACGGGAGCTCCGACGTGAATCACTGAACGAACTGAACGAGAGCTGCGACGTGAATCACTGAACGAACTGAACGGGAGCTCCGACGTGAATCACTGAACGAACTGAACGGGAGCTCCGACGTGAATCACTGAACGAACTGAACGAGAGCTCCGACATGAATTACTGAACGAACTGAACGAGAGCTCCGACGTGAATCACTGAACGAACTGAACGGGAGCTCCGACGTGAATCACTGAACGAACTGAACGAGAGCTGCGACGTGAATCACTGAATGAACTGAACGAGAGCTCCGACGTGAATCACTGAACGAACTGAGAGGAAGAGCGGAGCTCTCGTTCAGTTCGTTCACTGAATGAACTGAGAGGGAGAGAGAGACTCAGAGCTCCCGTTCAGAATCAGTACACACAATCACTTTCACCACCCATTTTTCATATTTTAGGTTTCACTACGCAAATAAAAGATGTACGCAAATAAATATTAGGTTATTAATTATTTTTAATTAGATAAAATGAAAACAATAAAAAATAAAAGTGAGAAACATAAATTACAGTGCATGGCCATGCATTTACATCTACAGTTAAGACATTAAACAAAGCTGCCTAATATATAATCATAGTTTGTTTAAATAAAGCAGCCCTTGCCAACAAAGTAGCCTAAATTAGCCTATATTATTATTTTAAAAATCTGCTTATATAATTTAAAATATAACTGTTCTGGTACAGGATATATTCGTTGCCATGCATATTTTCTGCATGTAGCCTATATTAAGTTAAATTAATTGTCATTCATGATAATGTTTGCAAACTGAAAGCTTCATAACAACAAGCACATACATTTTCGCGACACCCAGCTTAATTGTTATTAATTAATGATCGTACAAATCATTGACTGACTGGTGAAAGTGATTGTGTGTACTGATTCTGAACGGGAGCTCTGAGTCTCTCTCTCCCTCTCAGTTCGTTCAGTGATTCACGTCGGAGCTCTCGTTCAGTTCGTTCAGTGAACGAACTGAACGAACTGAACGAGAGCTCCGCCTCCTCTCTCTTCCTCTCAGTCAGTCAGTCAGTGAGTGATTTGTGTTCTGAACGTACTAAAACAGGGGTGTCAAACTCATTTTAGCTCAGGGGCCACATGGAGGATAATCTATTCCCAAGTGGGCCAGACCGGTAAAAATATGGCATAATTAAAAATAACGACAATTTCAGATTGTTTTCTTTGTTTTAATTTG